GACCACTGCAATGGACACTCCAACATGCCAAAAGGAAAACGACGTAGGGTAGAGGTATGTAGCAGTATTTTTCAAACAAAAGACATCCTTAAATGACAAAAAGGCACGTAGGGCTCAGCCAAATGGTACCATAATGGCGTCGAAACGTGTGGAAACAGGCTCTTTCTCTGAAACCCGCCCCATTCCCCATCGGTTTCTTTATATTCTGCTAACCCTTCCCCTCCCTGACCTGTTTCCTTGATTGCCTTCTGAGCTCCTGATGAGACAAGGCTTTCAACCTTATGTTTAGATAGGATGTTTTTCGTTTTTAAAGATGAGCTCATCATATCTTATTTTTCATATACACCTGGGTAGCATAAAATAACAATAGTAGACATATTATCATAGGTAGGTCACTCATTTTACAGCTATCACCAGAGGAAGAAAAAGAAATCAGATCGTGCCTGGCGGCCATAGAAATGGAAGAGAGAAGAAAAGAAATAGAGGGAAAAGAGGAAAAATTGCGGATGAGGGAAGAAGAATTAAAACTAAAAAGAAGAAAAAGCGAATTAGAGAAAAAAAAAAAAGATTTAAAGGAGAAAGAAGAGAAACTTAAAGAGAAAGCAAATGAGTTAAAGAAAAAACCACAATGGAAGCCAAACGGTTGGCTGCCCAGCTCCAGTTTATGGCCGGGCAGCTTGACCGTTTGGCAAACAACGTGCTTTCAGAAATGACAAAATGAAGAATTATTTTCGCCGGACATTAAAGAAATTTTTTAGACCGTCAGGTGTAAGTTGATTTATTGCATAATTATTTTCTTTATTTCACTACAACCATAAAAACAAAAAATTTTTTTTTGTGTAATGATTAATATATTTTATGTCTAAGAGAAATTTTGCACATCTTGTAAGACCAACCTATATTTTTCAAAAAAAATACAAAGCCCAAGTGCTGTATATTTTTTTGCTGTAGTAAATAAGAAATCCGTGTGATCTCTTGTGAAGGAAAAGTTCTCCTCTTATTGCAAGGTATGTGCCCCATCGCTGTCGTGCTCCACTTCCTCTGTTACCCCTGTCTTTAATCAATCGCTCCTCTCTTTATCTATCACTCGAATCTTGGTCGATAAATCCCCTTTCCTATAACAGCAATCCTATATCTTGAAGCATTGGTTTTCCTCGACATCCCTCTTGCCCCCTTTTCTTGCACAGGCAACCTAATTAAAATCAGTAAATAATGTCATTACAGGTCCATAATACATAAATTAATACATAAATTATTTCCCCTTATTCTCGTAAGTTACAAATTAACAAATAATGCATCCCTCTAATTCCGTCCCTTTTTGCTGAGGCAACTGAATTAGAATTAGAATCAAAAAATGTTAATAAAAGTTCTTATTACCCAGTTCCCTTAAATCCCCTTAATTTAAAAGTTAACAAATAATGCCACCCTGTCCACCACCCCCCAGAAAATAAACTCCTTGTAACCGAACAGTCTGAGATCAGAAAATATAATAAACGCCCCAAAAAACCAAACCAAGCCGTGTAAGCAATCTAAAATTGGTTTCTATTCATGCAAAACCAATAAAAAGGGTGCGTAATGTATACTGCAATGAACAACCGTACAGTCTTGCGGCAACAGAGGTTTTTGCTAAGCTGCACCTGTTATTGGCTACCTCGTGCCTACTGGACAGATACCACAAAACTACGCAAGCAGGATGACGGAGCACGGTAAACAAGCCCCCCGTAAAATGATGCACTGAACTGTACATTAAAATCACGAAAGCAGGATGTTGAAGTGTTATAAACAAGCCCCTCGCAACTTGGTGAACTGAACTGAACTGTACTTTGTCGCTTAGCTGTTGTTCTTGTTATTATTTATGTTATAAGTTTACACATGAGCTCCTGAGAGACCCCTCAAAAAAAAAAAAAAAAAAAAAAAAAAAAAAAACCAATAATAATAAAAAAATTAATAAATAATTTAAGTTAAATATTATCATTATCATTAGTAAGCGCATATCCATTCAAATCCCCTTCTCCTGCCTTTATGCATCTGCGACACAAATAAAGATGTATTTATAGTTGTGACATTTTCTGAACTCGTGCAATAGTTGGTGAACTTAAGTGTAATTTATGAACTGAGTTGTCCTTACTGAACTATATTGTCTTTATTGAACTATAAAAACAAACAAAAGGACTGTATCAAAGTTCAAGAAAAGAAAAAGAAAGTTGTTGTCTTGAGTTCCCGTCCTTGACAAAACGTGAAATTAGACACTCTCACGCTGTAAGTCGTGCAACGACGGCTAAGATATGAAACAAAAGCGTGATGGACGTGCCAAGTTGTTGTTTTGCTAATAAGTTGCCGCTCTCGTTGCCGTCGCCGTCGTCATTGCTTAAGCTCCTTAATGCCGACATAAAAAATACTGCGGTCTGGTATGACTGCCACATATAGTGGCAAGGAGACCTGTCCAATATGGGACAATCTATTTAGAAGACCGGTGTGGGCATAGTTAGTAGAGGAGACTGGTTATGAAAGCCGGCAAACATCAAAGTTGAAAACAATGGTGCTACAGTTTATATTGGAAGCAACAGGAGGGCATTTTGTATACGCATGCGTCAATATGGGCTGTTGAAGGGCCACAGCTGAGACATTTTCTGTGAATTGTTTACATTCAGTACCAGCATTTGCAGGCTGTTTTCTGGGGCTGAATGACGTGTATTGGGTGCTACGTTCCACAAACATGTTCTTTAAGGTGTCGAGGTATTTCTACGATGAAAGTGAGTTTATTGTACCTTCGCTGTCGCCCTTGAGAGGACAGTCTTTCCTTTCGTAAAACAGTACATCGAAGACAAGATGGCGGTGGAATGTTCTTATCAACTAACATTTCGCGCACATTTTTTGAGCAGGAGGAAAAGGTCAGTATGATAGTTTTTCGTTAAACAATTAACCTATAGATACTTAATTCTTCTCAATAGTATAACTCCAAAATCGAACTTAATCGTTTCAGGAATACAGTGGCTAATTAAGTGTCCATTCTGCCGTGAAACTGTTTTTCACCCTTTCTCTGGCTTGTTTATCTCGAAATCTTGCCTTTCTCCCCAGATTAAGTTAACGATTAATGAAACTAAGAATACTTCCGCGAATGAATGGCGCTTTGATGAAGACTGTGAAAAATCGCCTTCTGCAGTAATTTTAGCTTTCTTCTCCGGTACGTCTTCGTTGAGAAATAAAATACACGCACTTCAACTATAAATTTAAATCAATATAATAACGCCAGTAAGATGGTGTTTTGAAAATACGAATATTCTATCATTTAGGTCTACAAAGGAAAAAAAATTGTAGCAATCGGTTTGAATTCTGATTTTTTCCACCTTATTTTGATGATACACTGTTTGTTTACATTTCAGTATGCAAATAAATATAACATTTTGGCGTTTTAAAGAAAATCTAGCCTAACTCCCCAACCCCAAAATAGCACGAAATGATACGTTATAAATACACCTTTTAAATAAATCCTGGTTTCTGCTGCAGAAAAATCGCATTTGTTCCTAAATGATACCATTTTGTGGATACTACATTTGTTGATATGCTAATTTGTGAGACATTTAATTCACAAATGATGTTGAATGAGACCAGCTTCTCCTCTGTATTGATCCACATTCTTGTTTAATGCATCAGTTTCTGCTTGATAATTCTTCCATAATGTACAACTTACGTAAGGGGTTCATCTGGATACAGTAAAAAGAAAGCTCTCAACAGAAACATTAATAACAGACAAATTTATCCATCCATTTGTGCCGTGTTTGTTGTCGTATCCAGCTTATTTGGGTCCTTTAGCAGAAGTATTTATTTTTTGAGAAAACAGCATTATTTGCACCCCTTTAACAAACTTCCTGTCTTATGTTTAAACAGGCTTTGAAGGTGAACAACATCGTCAGATTTATGGAGTGATGGCCATTCTTTGTTTTAAATGGATCACTACTGTCATCAAATTTAAATTAATAAAAAGAAATCGATTGTGGAACGCAGGAGCTGTTACTCAAGAGTCGCTTCAAAATAGTAGCTTGGGAAAATCTCTGTATCTTTTAGAGTGAAAGAAAAATAAAAGTACTGTTCGTTTTTTTCGAGTATGTGCATTCGTTTTGTCTGCAACTGAGCTTATGAAATGCTCAAATGATTATGTACTATATAATCACTTGTAACTGTTGCTGTCTCAAACTCAATCCATTCTTCATTTCCTATAGAATATTTTTTTTATAAATTTTTCCGCGAAAACTTCCGAAAAACTGTAAAACCCATAGATTTCATGTTTTTGTGGCAAATATAAACGCGTGTCTCCGCGATCAGTTTAACATGAGACATTGCGCTAATAAATAAACCTCGCGTGGTAATTTTTGTTTCACTTTTTGTCTTAAAGCAGCTGCTACGATGCATTTCCTCCCTGATAAGTAAAACCACGAATTTGGAAATCAAACCATAGAAATGCATTGCTCTGCCAGTGAAAATCAGACTTATACAGGAACATTACTTTTTGGCGTTGAGTCTTGAAAGTCTTTAAAAGGCCAAGAAAACCTACTGCTGAAAAATCCACGAGTGAAAACCCGCGTAGAAAACGTCCGATTTTTGTCATGGCGAATATTTTTTTTTGTAGGAAAGTACGGTATTCAAAGCACCAACGAAAAGGACTGTAATTTTACGCGCGAGTTTTCGATTTCCCGCCATCAGATTTGATGCGCCCACGCTGTTGTCGTTCAGCGGATTCACGCACGCGCATGCAAAATGCCCTCCTGTTATTGGAAGCTCCCTAACCGTGCACAATCCTTTGTTTTTTGTTGTTCACGAATTGTGATTGAATAAAATGACGCGATGTTTCTATTGGTCAATAAGTTTAAAATGATAGGAATGCTATCGGTCAAGTCTAAAATAGCTGACAAAAACATATAACAAAGGAGTCTGTCGGGCTTCATGACATTCAGCTTTGTTAACTATGGTGTGGTGCAGTCACGCTCCTTTCAAAATCACCGTTAATATGCCGATTTGAACAAAAACCCTTTCCCGGCTGCGTAAGAGCTATCTGCTAGGCTGGTTTTCACTAGTAACGGAATCGGAGTTGGAATCGTAAGCGGTGTGACACTTATGACATTGTGATAATAAAAAATCAGAGCGCGACGGAGTCGGAAGAATCAGAACGTTTCAATTTACGACTCCGTCGTTTACGAACTATTGAAAACCAGATTGTCGGAAGCAGAAGCGAAAGGATCAACCAATCACTGGGCTAGTTCCACGCTTTGTGATTGGTTTAGTTCTTCCGCTTCTCCTTGCGACTCCGACAACCCAGTTTTCACTAGATAGATCGTAACCAACAGAGTTTTCACTAGACTCCGCCGTTAGTCATGAGCAGCCTTAAGGCTTTTTCTTCACTATATCGGATGCTTTTTTTAGACGCGGAACTTTAAGAAATTTCTTGGACTTCACTTCACTTCTCACCTTAATTAAGGATGGAATATCCGCCCAAAACGCATAATTGGGTACCATCTCTGTTAACCCTTCTGCTCCCATTTTAAACTTCTTAATGAGAACTCCACAAATAAGGTAAACGAAAACCAAAACAAAAAATCTGAAAGCAGATGAAAATATAACTTAACATAGAAATAACTTAACATATAAGTTTTTAGATAAATTTTCAAGTGTAAACAAAAGTCGACTGATTACAGCTAGCCTTGAAAGGAATTTTGTCACCAGGATATTATGTTTTAGGCAAGAGAGGATAAAGGGGACAGAGAAGGCATCCCCCATACACAACCTATTCCATAAGATAAATTTATCTCGCGCGCTTCGTGGATGTTTCGTGGAGGTTTCGCATGACTAAACGCCGTGGAAAACATGTCGGGCGAACGGCAATGAAAGCGTAAAGAGATCGAGGGTATTCCCGAATATTGACGTGAAATGAGTCGGCGCTCACCTGGGAAAAGGGAGTCGCTAGACTCTTTGACAACCTGTGAAATCAGTTTAACTCGAAGTTTACGTGACCTCAGTGCTTTAATAAAATGAGAAATTTCGCCGGTCTATTGAGACCGGTCGTTTGTACATGTACAATAAAGGAAGTAGACACCAAGTGTTATTTTTGTTTAATAATAAAAGACTAATAAAAGAATAAATATCAAACCAGAAATTGCTCTCTTCAAACTGTAATAAATGATCCTGAGGGAATATTCACTGTGTTAAGGATTTCCCTGCTGTACTGTTAGCTCTATACAAGGGAGGAAGGGCGATTCTTTTTTAATTTCCGTTTCGCTGACACAGCTTTAGCAGAAATCTCTCTGTAGTCGTTTTCGTCGACTAAACGAATAGCAATATCGCTCTCCGCGTCTTCCATTTTGTTCTGCGTCAATTCGTGAAGGACGCGTGGCTCTGAGCGTGGGTCATCCACGCGGAACACATTCGCGCTATGTGATTGGCTGTTGTCTAATCCCCCTTGGGATCTGTGGTCTTAAAAATAACTCGAGACGAATTACCTATGGAATAAGGTGTATATGAGGGATGCCTTCTCTGTCCCCTTTATCCTCTCTTGGTTTTCAGTCAATTCTGTGCTCAAGTCATTACTTAGTGCTTTAACGTTAAAAAAAATGTTACCGTAGAGTTATAAAAAATATATTAAACAAACTTCACCAGGGAGCACGAACCATTATTATTTTGATGATATATGCAGGTATAGCATTAAGGTGTTTCGATATAGTTTTTCCAAGGCCATACCGACATTTGTTAATCGCTTTAAAAGTGATTTTATCCTTGCCTGATCGCTATAAAATTTTCACCAATGATTGACTATAGATTGAAATTTGTCAAAATGTAGGTTTTAGTAAAATCGATATTACTATGACAACAATAAACAAAAAACTTTGAAACTGATAAACGAATAATTTTGCGGGATCTAGACCAGCTACTCAAATTCAACACTAGGAACTTAAAGTTTGGTGTTTAGCAAATAACCACCGAAAGAAGTAAACAATTCTGTATGTTTGAATTCGACTAAAACGAAAATATATTTCAAACCTTAAATATTCAATAGCCGTGATACTTTTTTTTAATAAAAACGTTATAAATGACTCAAATTATTTTTAAGTAGTGTCAGAATGCTGCTTAATATCATATTTCGATGCTAGGAAATTTTGGTGTGTTTTCGTTCTTGCGATCTTAAAAACTAAGTAAAAACCCGCTTTCTCACCACCTGTCTAAGCGCAACTTCATTCAAAATTCGGACTTTTAGCGCTGTTTTGTATATCTCTGAAACAACTGGAACGAATTTTTTTGAAATCTCTTCACATAATCTTCATAATGTATATAATAATGTCTCTTAATTTTTCATTAAGATTGATTCAATGCAACACCTTGAGATTTCAAGACAAACATATATCCTACGAACCGGTCAAAAATCTGCGCTACAACATTCATGATCACTGTTTTGACGTTATGCTAATTTTTCCAAATTAACGCCGAAAATACATATATCCGTTCAATGTTTTACATTCAAAAGATGTGATAAATTCAAACTAAAATGAACTAGTCAAGGAGGTATGTATATTGCGCGTTGGAGATTGCTTGTTAAACACCAAACTTTAATTTCCTAGTGTTGGATTTTCAGTAGCTGGTCTAGATCACACAAAATTCTTCTTTTATCAATTTCTAAGTTTTTTGTTTATTGTTGTCATAGTAATATCTATTTTACTGAAAACTACATTTCCACAAATTTCATTCTATAGCCAATTACTGGTGAAAATTTTGTAGCGATCAGACAAGGAAAACTCACTTTTAAGGCGATTGGAAAGTATCGGTATGGCCTCTGAAAAACTGTATCGAAACACCTTAAGACTTGAGAAAGTTGGGCTAACTTGAAAAGTTGTCATCCCTTACAGCAGACGAAAGAAAGTAGTTTGAATGCAAAAACAAGTTAATTGATGCGAAAACAAGCTTTTGCTTTTAAAATAGGATGACCATTAAGGTGTTATAGCCCCTTTAAGAGCCCTCTGACCTTTGATCTTGGGCGCCTTAGCTCGCTAAAGAAAAGCATTCTACCTCCGGCCGACAGAGAATTTTTGTTCTCTGTTTATTTAGTAAATATGGGTCAATGAGAATTACTGTATTGCACATACAAATAGCGGCTTAATGGGGTATTGGAAAGAAACTATTCTTGTTTGTTGAATAGTAAGGCTTGAAAAAATGGATGCTGCACGGTGGTGTCGTGATGTCAAATTCACGAGTAAAACTTCGTGTCTTGGAATTGAAAATAGACCGTAAACGAACTAAAATGGCACGTGACTCATTATATTGAAAGATGTTTTCCTGAGCTTGTTAACCCCTTATGATATAAAGGTTTACATACCGGAACTTTTCAAATGTTTTAAGTAAAAAATAGTTTCCTTATCATACCTCATACATATTCCTCATCAAAACGTTCCTAAAATTGAACTATTAAATTAACTTGTACACTATCCACGCAGCAACATATACACTGTACGACATATACAGATGCATTTTAAGATTTCATTACATACGTTATCAATATAATACTGCCTTTACTGAGTCTTTTATGTTTGGGCTTCACGGTTGGATCAGCGGGGTTTGTTGGATCAACCGGGGATGGAGGAGTAACACAGCCATCATCACATGCGCACTTAGAGGTAAACGTCATTTTCTGCGAAAACCAGAAAAACCATTAAAAATCAAAAATAAACTCAAGACTTGTAGCATTCCTGATATAAAAAGTTTAGTTAATAAAAATTCCGGTTTTTTCTTATTTTGCCCAATGGACATTTGCATTCCCTCCCTATTAACTAAGAATAATCTGAGACAGTTATTATTAAGTGCAGGGAAGAGATCATTTCTTCGTGATCACGAGGTAGTCGTGTCGAATGGGTGGTTGTTGTACAGTGGGTTTCACTCTTACTTACTAAAGGGAGGGGTGAGGGGGGGTGGATACCACCCCACTCGGGAAGCCAAAAACACATTGTGTCAAGAGGGACAAATCTACAAAAGCTTATTTTGGATGACGTCACTGGCCTCCAGCAGCGCCTCGTTGCATATCTATCCAATAATGCTAACATCATCATATTCTAGACCACATAACAGGCGGGTCATGTAGCAGCTACTTGCAAGAGAAGTCACCAATGATGCTTTTCCCTGACCCCAAACTATACTAAAACAATTGGAAGAATGACATGTCATTGTTTCTTGCGACCAATGAGAAGAGACCTTTCGAGCAGCTCCTACACTACTCTAACAGGCCATCTAGTCTATCCGTAATGATAGGAATTTTTCAAAGTATCGCATCATATCAAAAACGCAAGGGGGAGGGGGGCTGGGGGCAGTGTTCTTACCAAGCGTTTGACACTACGGTGAGAGTATGAATGGCCGAGGGCTAACTGACCAACCTCGAAGTCATACATGGCTTCGAGAGGGAGAATAAAGCAAAATATAATATCTTGAGGCTCAGCAATGATTAATACATTTAATTTTGTTCTATTCTCCTAAGCTTCGGAGCCAAGTATGAATTTTTTATTACATCGATGTTGGTCTTTTAAGCGATTAGATGTTTATAAACACAAGAAAACGCACATAATGATATGAATCTTTTACAGGCTGCGGAAGAACCACAACACCGTCTCCGGTATCACCAGGGTACTTTGTGTCATCGCATTTAAGTTTTATATGCACCTCCCTAAAACATTAAAAAAAAATAGTAATATTGTACAGAATAAAATTGAATAAACAAAAGTAAACAAGTCGGTCATTTGAGAGAGAGAGAAACCTTTATTCATTTATATCACCGTAACCCATTTAGATGCTATAGCAACTGCTATTTCATATTTTTGGTACCAAGTATATAACTTTAAAACATATGTCCATTCACTTTAGTTTTAGTCAAAATAAGCACATGAAAAAACAGAAGAAATCAGCTTGAGGCTCAGTAATGAATAATACATTTCTTTTGTTTTACTCCCTCAAGCCTTTGGAGCCAAGCATGAATTTTTTTTATATATGGAAATTGGTCTGTTTTAAGTTACACTTTATTGACCTCGGGTTATTTAGATAAATAAGAATGATTTACCTTTTCGCATATGAACGGTAAGATATGGTGGTAGATCCGTCTTTGTTTACTGTGAATGCAGCGGCAGACTGGGCCAATACTTGGCCAGTACTGGCTTCTCTGTTCGGGTTTTCACACATCTTGGAGTAAATGTATTTCATTTTAATAGACCTTATGATACCCGCCATCTTTGCATGCACCCTAGGATCGATGGGATATTTGCAATGTCACGTGATTTCTCAGGGGACGAACAACGAATAAAATTTGCCATTACGAGTAATCGCGACGGAATTTGTCTATTCTATCAAAGCGAAACGACGATGTAATGGTCATTTAAAATGTACAGTTTGAGTTTAAACAAGTTTTACGTCATCATTGCATGCTGAACGCTATCGCTTCCAAATTAAGTTAAAATGAACACTTTCACTAATAACTTGCCATTAGCGTCTTCAAGATAAAAAGTTCTTCATTTCCTTTTGTCTAGAATAAATAAACTCTACCGAGATTTCTTGTATTAGCAGATTTTATTACTTGCTTGGTTCCCTGAGAAGCCATCAGTCCTTAAGCGTGCAAAGATGGCGGGTATCGTGAATAAGGTCTATTGGAACACAGTTGCTTGG